CAGCAAACACAGTCACTTAATTCCAAGAATTAAAGAACAAACAGCGCTGTATTCGCTAAATCAGGAATTGTGGAGCGCTCACAAAGGAACCATGAATTTTAGGTCCACATAACTGAGCTAGAAAGATTTTCTAATACAGCCCAATTATTGGATCAATTTCTGACAATTGCAAGATTAGCGAATAATCCAGACATCTTGCATTTACATACAGATACCAGCACATGCACTAAAACACAGCTTAAGCAGTAGTGAATACATGGCATTAACCACCAGCCATGGTGGCAGAGAGGGTTTCAGATTTCCTACAAAGAAGCAGATTGCAGACCATGTCAGAGAAAAGCGTGCATTTGGTGCTTAGACACGGCAGCATTTATTATTATAAGTTTTAGCATAAATTAGAACGATAAAGCGCCAACACAATCCGCAGCGCAGTACGTTTAGCTCCTGCAGAGTGTATATACCCCTCTGTCCCACAAGGCTTACAATCCGTTACTAATCATAGCTTGACACCCCCCATGGTGGGTGCTCCCAGTGCACAGTATGGAATCTCCGGAAACATTTTAAACAACCACAAGCGGTAGATCAGAATGCACTTAATATGAGGAGAACCGAGATAATATAACATAATGGTCAGTAATGTCTGAGTCCAGAGGTATCCAGCCAGTATCAGGAAGAATCAAAAATCGCCACAGAGTAAGTAACAATCTAGTAATGATACTCCGCACCAGTTTAGTAAAATAACTTACATAGTGCCAGGTAGGGAGCAGGGCTGCTGGATATCTCGTCTGTTCAGGCTGCGCTGAGCTGAGTGACGGGACAGGCTGCGGCCAGGACGGGAGGATTGAGATAATCCCATTAAACCACCTGGACGGGAGAATTCACATCTGGCTATGATACGGCATGTGTGTGGATTGGGTATTAAAAAAACACCCCCACTTTATCCCCAATACAGACAAGAATTAGAAAACTTGTAAAAACAAAACAACAAAACACTGGGTTATTCGCCAACATGCGAATCGTCGGAAATTCTATGAGAATTTTACATTTTAATGGAATATAGGAAAGCTGGGAAAAGTTTTCAGTTTGACCTAAAATATATAATTCACTCTGAAATTCTGACAATTCACACATTAGTTAAATAACCTTCCACATCCAAAATATCCTGATCCACCCCAGTCATCTTTCCAGAATTAACCCTGTCTGTGCTGGTACACAGTGCACAATATTTAATGGAAATCATGAATTAGAATCACCATACTGTACTGCTCCCATCTCTGCTGGGGGTAAGATGTCAGAGCCAACTAAACACTACATCAGTGTTACTTACTTTCTTTTAATAGTTTTCTAGTGCACCTGCTCAGCATCATGGGACATGTAGTTCCCTTGCACCTAGAGATGTCAAAGCTGATTAGCCCAGATCTATAGGTTATTATAGGAAACCAAGAACAGGACTATTCTGTTTAACCCTTGAACTGACAACACTGCAGCCAATAACAGGACATTCTCGTAGATTGTAAATTTGGTACCAGTTACAGCCTGATTATATATAGATATATCACCACTATATAATTGTACTGCGATGTGGAATATGTTGGTGCCATAAAAATGTTAATGCATGCATGAGACTCAGTGTAAGTGAAAGTGTGCACAAGGCGTGGGTGGTCCGGAGTAGCCGGATTGTGGAACAGGTCAGTGGGGTGAGGTGTTAGATGACAGAGGATAATCCCAGGAATTAGCGATTCCTCTCCTGCATTTTGCTGAGCTAGCTGGTCAGATCCAAACAGCACAGTCAGGGATACCCCACGTCACCCATAACTGACCCTGGTAAAGGGAGAGCTGACAATTACTCTAATAAAATGTACAATGTAACCAGGAACTTCTATTGTATAGCCAAGACAAACCTTTCTTAATGGGTCACACAGGGACAAAGGCATGAGATAAAACCAGATACAGTGACTGAAATAAGAGGCAGGATTCATAGATACCCAAACCCTATCCGTAACAATCAAAAATATATTCTACTTTATCACAGTTCTCCAATAAACAAAACACAATAACTTACTATTATACAACTACTGCCTCCCTCTACAGTAATGTAACCTGTAAAGTGCTGAGTACACCTGTTAGCGCTATATAAATATAATATACATACACTGTATACCTACTGCACTTACTGTACCTCCCTCTACTGTAATGTAACCTGTAAAGTACTGAGTACACCTGTTAGTGCTTATAAATAAATATACATACACTGTATACCTACTGCACTTACTGTACCTCCCTCTACTGTAATGTAACCTGTAAAGTACTGAGTACACCTGTTAGCGCTATATAAATAAAATATACATACACTGTATACCTACTGCACTTACTGTACCTCCCTCTACTGTAATGTAACCTGTAAAGTACTGAGTACATAATGCTATATAAATAAAATATACATACACTGTATACCTACTGCACTTATTGTACCTCCTACTGTAATGTAACCTGTAAAGTGCTGAGTACACCTGTTAGCGCTATATAAATAAAATATACATACACTGTATACCTACTGCACTTACTGTACCTCCTTCTACAGTAATGTAACCTGTAAAGTGCTGAGTACACCTATTACCGCTATATAAATATAATATACATACACTGTATACCTACTGCACGTACTGTACCTCCCTCTACTGTAATGTAACCTGTAAAGTGCTGAGTACACCTGTTAACACTATATAAATATAATATACATACACTGTATACCTACTGCACGTACTGTACCTCCCTCTACTGTAATGTAACCTGTAAAGTGACGAGTACACCTGTTAGCATTACATAAATAAAATATACATATGCTCTATACCTCCTGTACCTCCCTCTACTGTAATGTAACCTGTAAAGTGCTGAGTACACCTGTTAGCGCTATGTAAATAAAATATACATACACTGTCTACCTACTGCACTTACTGTACCTCCCTCTACTGTAATGTAACCTGTAAAGTGACGAGTACACCTGTTAGCACTATATAAATAAAATATACATATGTTGCACTTACTGTACCTCCCTCTATTGTAATGTTACCTCTAAAGTGCTGAGTACACCTGTTAGCGCTATATAAATAAATATACATACACTGTATACCTACTGCACTTACTGTACCTCCCTCTACTGTAATGTAACCTGTAAAGTGCTGAGTACACCTGTTAGTGCTATATAAATAAAATATACACACACTGTATACCTACTGCACTTACTGTACCTCCCTCTACTGTAATGTAACCTGTAAAGTGCACCTGTCAGTGTACACCTGTCAGTGTTATATAATATATGCATAAACAGCAAAGTGGGGGGAAATGTTAACGGCAAAAACCAAAGTAGCAGCAATTTAAAATTCTCCTGGGAACGGTCCTAAAGTTTAAAACCATACATTCATTGTGGGGAGATAGGGAACATCACAGACCCCCAGCTCTGTCTCTTGGCTTGAGACCGGCAGATTACAAATCTATTTTACAGTGACATATGGAATATATCAAATCCCCTGGATCTTGTTAAAGGATGTACCTGTTTTACAGACACGTGACTGAGCAGTTTTTACACCCCACCTAGTGGTAGGATCGGCAGATCTGGCCTACTGGCCTATTTCTGGGGATCGGGGTCACGATTATCCCAGTTTCATTCACAAACTGGAAAAATCTTGTCTTTACCAAAATCCCAGCCAACTATTAATAGCAGCAGTGGAATATCACGCAGAATACAAGTTAGAGAAAAATACTTCCAATAAATGTAAAATGCATGATAACTGCAGGGCACAATGCGTAGAATTTAATTTACTAAATTAAGCGGCTCTGATACTTCACAGGTTCTTCTTTTAAAAGAATCATTTTTTGTCCCTCTTTCTATATTTTAGGTGATAAATAAGATCAATGAAAACACACAGACAATAATCTAAATATCATATTGCAGACAGGGCAAATAAAAAGACATGGTCAGGTGGTCTCTGTGGCAAAGGTTAAAGGTCGCACTATTTTCAAGCTGTCATGTATTCCTGTATATCTCATATGAGAATATTGACATCATCAACAATGTACAGGACAGATCGCTGTAGATTAAAAGATCGGTTTAACAGGATGTAAAGGATCAGGAAGGTTTACATTAGGGGAGCAAAGCAGGTTGAGCGTCCCAGCTTACGGTTAATGTAGCGATGGAGACTGGTCATTTATACACTTCAGCCACAATAGGGATTAGCTCTTAAACACCATTACAGTTTGGTTACATCTTTCTGTCCAGCCCCCCCACACCAAAAAAGCATTCCTGATACTGCCGCCAGAACGAAGTAAAGTTTGTACACGTAGTGCAAACAATATGTATAGTTACCTTGCCAACCCAAACACATATTACCTGTTATTGCATCCTGAAAGAAATCATGGAATGTGTTCATTAATTCCCTTCCAGGTTGTTACAATGCAGCCAGGTAATTTGACATACAACTGCCTCTGTGGTCAAAGGAGGGATTGTTGGCATATATGGTCCCCTGTCCGTGAATGTTTCCTTTGTTTCCCCAATACTGGGTGAAGATTAGCAATCGGTTATAACGGGTTAAATTCAGTTTCTCTCTGCAAGCCATGTATATACATTTCCCCTCAAAAACTCCACCGTGTACCTAACAAATCACCATAAACATTGAACTGTTACCATTTCTGTTAATCTTGTGCAGTATTATTTGTATGTGATAAAAATGCTATTTCAGCATCGATGTGCATAGTTTAGGCTGCAAGAATGCCAAACACAATATAATCTAAAACATTACTCCGTATTAATGAATAAACCATTGTGTACATTTACACTATTTTAACGATTGAAGTATTCCCGAGCAGAAGTCTAACTAGAAAATGCGCTGTTTGCTAGTTGTGCATCTTGGGTTTCAAATAATAATAAAAAAATAAAAAAAAGTAAAAGGAACCCAATAGACAAAGATGCAAAGGAACACTGACTTTTAACATATACACTTTGTACGAATTCCAAGACACAATATGCTTTAGTAAAATATTTAATAAAAAAACAAAAAAAACACACAACCGTGCCTGCAGAAACTTTCCTATCAGCTAATAAATAGGGAGAAAATAAGCCAGCTTGATTTCCAAAACCGCAGGCTTCATCGCAAAACATGATTGTTTGGATTGGAAAACTAATCTGTAATAAGGCACCAAGCCTGAGCACCGTAGCCGGTACAGCTCACGGCATCACTCCCTACATTGTAACATTCATGGGTCTGACTGTATGCTACAGATAGGCCAAGGACGGTGGGATTCTCTTGTGCTCTCAGCCTATGAATGGAATTCACTTGCGCATTACCCAATGCAGAGGCTGGGAGAGCCCTGGTATTTTTGAAATGCTGACAGTCTGACAAACTCTGCGCTATGACCACACTGCGTTGTAGAGGTTACTGGGTACGCTACTTAGGGCACCCCTTTAAGTAACAATATCCTAGTGACCCAAGTGCAGAACTGCAGGTGGAGGTCACTACACTATCTCAGTAATGCCCCACATTTGGCAGGCCAAGTCCTTAAAATTTGCTCTTATACCGACTTTCTCCCGAGCCGCTGGAAGACACTAACATTGGCGGTGTTGTCCATTTGGGCACTGCTACTGTCACAGGTGCTGCTCACCCTGGTGCTCCCTAATGTCCTCTTGATGGTCACTTTAAATGCCCCTGTAGGGGGTTTAGTGCTACTGACACTGCTATCCTGGGCAGCTGCAGGCAGTTTCCCCAGGCGCTGTGCCAGGGAGGTTACTGTAGGTTTTTTCCTTTTCTCAGCCTGGGGTACTATTTGCTGGACAGTGCCCAGCCGGTGTGCCAGGGAGGTTACTGTAGGTTTTTTTCTTTTCTCAGCCTGGGGTTCTTTTTGCTGGACAGTGCCCAGCCGGTGTGCCAGGGGGGTTACTGTAGGTTTTTTCCTTTTCTCAGCCTCTGATTCTATTTGCTGGACAGTGCCCAGCCGGTGTGCCAGGGAGGTTACTGTAGGTTTTTTTATTTTCTCAGCCTCTGATTCTATTTGCTGGACAGTGCCCAGCCGGTGTGCCAGGGCATTTTTTGTAGCGGAGAGTTTGGCAGGAGCACTGGCTGGAGGTTTGGCGGTCAACCGTCTCACTGTGGTAATGGCAGGCTTTGGTTCGGAGCTAGTGGCTTTGGCCTTGATGGTCACCCCTGGAGCTAGCCACTCTCGGACAACAGGAGCTGTCTTCTTTTTAAGGACACCTTCATACTGCAGAACACTGCCATCCTCATCACTCTCAGCCAACACTTCTTCCTGGCAGGCATTTCCTAAACGACTAAAGACACCAGTGGGCTAGGAGCAAACAGGAGAGAACAGCATAAATAAAAATGCAGATAAACCTAAATATTACATTTCTTAATCAAATGGAGTTCTTTTGTTGTTACATAGCCCTTAGTTCTGTTTAACAAGGACTGACATGGCCCCAGGTCAGTTGAAAGGCCAGGCCCTGGAGACCGTAACATGGCGGCGCATCTCATTTACCATCTACCTCCAGGTATGAACACAGGACAAGCTAAACTATTCCCCACCTCCTGCGTGGCATTCCCGACTGGTGGAGACAGATTCTGGCACCTTTAGCAACATCAGTGATGAACGGGTAACTCAAAGCACCATGACCACTGAAGTTATCATGGTGCCTGAAGTTTGTATGCACACGGTTTTGCTATGAAACGCTTGACATACAGAGTGTAACCCCCTCTGTTACCGGAGGTGAGAATTATTAGCCAGCCTGGAACAAAAATTCAAAAATCGGTTAATGTGAATTCTGTACAAATTCAATGTCTCACATCACCCCACACCCGTTCGTATCATCCCCTCAGCCCGCCAGCCTCAGCTAGTTTTAGCTTTAGTAATTTATTATTAATTGCTTCAAATCATGCGGGGAAGTGTCCCCTGTCATATGAGGGCTGGAATGGAGTGAACTAAAAGCATTCTAAATACGCACTTTAATAAAGTAAGAGGGTACGCTGTTAATCCCTAAATCTTTGCATTTCACCAAGATGAATTATTGCTTTCGGGTTGATAGCGAGCATTCCTTTAATGACACTAAAAGCTGGCTATTTCCCCACCTTAAATTAAATAGAAATCAAACACTAAATGCAGGATTTAAAATTTCCACTAGAGAACGAAAACTTTGGTGAATTTGCCATTCCCTCTCCAGGCTTGCCGTGGCCAGTAACTTTTGAAGACTGGGTAATCGTGTATTTCTTGAAATTTTAAGCCCTGCTAAACCTGTACATTGAACATGTGCCAAGAGAGTCTCATAATAATCATTACACAAAATTACAAACCACCAGTTAAATCATTTCCCGCTGGCTTTAAGGTCTCAAGACCCCTAAACTTTTGTTAAAAGCAGTTCTGGGCACCCCATCTTTTACACTACCTAAGAGAATGCAGTGTATAATCCGACCCCAGAGTCCCCATGATACCACCATGGGCCACCAAAGACTGTGGACAATGGAAAGGGTTTATTATCCAGATATTACTGACCTTGCTTCCTGTAGTTGTATCAACTTTGCTTTCAGCTCCCAGTCTGTCAAACACAGATGTTCTTGTAAAACCTAAAACAATAAAATCAAATGGAATTTAATCTCATTATGAAACCAGTTAAAGCTGTAAGCAGGTCACGGTCACCCTTAAAATATGTCACTATCACTAGTACACTTGAAAAGGACCGTGTGGGTCGAAACGTTGTGATGCAGTGGGTTCAATAAAATTGCCTGGTTAGTACCTTGGAGTGCCTGGACCTTTCTTCTATTTTATTACTCAGCATTTGGTCTCTGGTACTGAAACTGTCCAAGTTGCACCCAGCTACATACTACTTAAAAAGGGACAGAGTGCAGTTCCACACCCTACCATAACTATCACTAGTACACTGTGACCCTGGGAGGGACTGACCATTAAACATGTCACTGTCATTAGTACACTGTGACCCTGGGAGGGACTGACCATTAAACATGTCACTGTCATTGGTACACTGTGACCCTGGAAGGGATCGACCATTAAACATGTCACTGTCATTAGTACACTGTGACCCTGGGAGGGACCGACCATTAAACATGTCACTGTCATTAGTACGCTGTGACCCTGGGAGGGACCGGCCATTAAACATGTCACTGTCATTAGTACGCTGTGACCCTGGGAGGGACCGGCCATTAAACATGTCACTGTCATTAGTACGCTGTGACCCTGGGAGGGACCGGCCATTAAACATGTCACTGTCATTAGTACACTGTGACCCTGGGAGGGACCGACCATTAAACATGTCACTGTCATTAGTACACTGTGACCCTGGGAGGGACCGACCATTAAACATGTCACTGTCATTAGTACGCTGTGACCCTGGGAGGGACTGACCATTAAACATGTCACTGTCATTGGTACACTGTGACCCTGGAAGGGATCGACCATTAAACATGTCACTGTCATTAGTACACTGTGACCCTGGGAGGGACCGACCATTAAACATGTCACTGTCATTAGTACACTGTGACCCTAGGAAGGACCGACCCTAAAACTTGTCACTGTCATCAGTACACTGTGATCCTGGGAGGGACAGACCATTAAACATGTCACTGTCATTAGTACACTGTGACCCTGGGAGGGACCGACCATTAAACATGTCACTGTCATTAGTACACTGTGACCCTGGGAGGGGCCGACCATTAAACATGTCACTGTCATTAGTACACTGTGACCCTGGGAGGGACCGACCATTAAACATGTCACTGTCATTAGTACACTATGACCCTAAGAGGGACTGACCATTAAACACGTCACTCATTAGTACACTGTGACCCTGGGAGGGACTGACCAGTAAACATGTCACTGTCATTAGTACACTGTGACCCTAAGAGGGACTGACCATTAAACATGTGACTGTCATTAGTACACTGTGACCCTGGGAGAGACTGACCTTTTGCTGACTGCTCCTCCAAGATTTTCTTGGTGCGTGGTGTGGTCCCTTTGGGCATGTTAACTACATACTTTCCTTCCATTTCTGCAGTCACCCTACGGCGTTTTACTGACACCTCAGAGCTGTCGCCCGCAGAAGGAGGGTCAGCTGTGCAGGAAGAGGACAGAGAAGTATTTACAGCTTCCATTCTCCTTAAACAGCTTAAAATATAGTTGAATGTTGAGCTTTATGGTCAAGGAAAACCACCCTGTATGTTACCTGCTTGTGAAGTTTTCAAAGCCCCCTTATTAGACACAGTTACTGAGATTTTGGATGTACTAGTGTCAGGCCTGCGGGCCGGTGTAGATGGTGGAGAGTCCCGGCTCAGACTGTTGGCGATCATTCTTGTAGCCGCTGGAAATAAAGAAAGAACACCATGGCAAATCATGCACCATACAAGACATCTGTAAACCGAAGGCAAGATATCTCTTCAAACCCATCTTGCTCTATATTTTAATTCAGGACCACAGGAGCGGGTAACTGACAACCAAAATTTTAAATATCATCTTTCTATACAAAGAAGCCTTATATAACAGATACTAGGGTTTTAAAACATTCCAATGACATTTGTATTGCTTTTTATATTTATATAGAATGTATGGGTGCTTTAAGAGAAAGAGAGCTATATTGTGGTGGAATGAACACATGGTAAAAGTCGTATAACCAAGGTGTTAAAATGTGGTGTCTGACCAGCTGCCCTAAGCATTACAAAGATTGAAATCCATTTTCCTTTCCTAGATATGGCAGGAAGTGGGCACAGGTACTTACGGCTGTTTGCGTTGCGCCGTAGTTCCGCCTGCATGGAGTTCTGATTCTGTGGTTCTGTCAGAGCTTTGCAGATATCCTGAGAGAGAGAGAGCAGGATATGAAATGTAAATAAAACACAATCCATCTTAGTTACTACCAACTCCTGCAAGAGAGTGCAGGGAGAAACTTTATATAACAAACATTCAAAATTCAGCCTGTGGCCGGATTCTAATGCCATTAAAGGGAACCTATAGTGCCAGGAATAGCAAAGTTGTATTCCTAGCACTATAGTACCATATGGTGCCTCCCTTACTTACACCCCTCCTCCCTACAGCACAGAAGCAGTAAAAACCCTTCTGTCACTTAACTGAATCCAGCGCCGATGTCCCTAAGCTCCGCCTTCATACCTCCTCTCCCAACATCAGCCAATTGAATCAATGCTTTCCTATGGGGTATTAGCCATGCAGAGCGTGAGACCAAAAGTTGCCTATCAACCCAAAAGCATATCTAGTGGCTGTCTGGTAGACAGCCACTAAAGGTGGAGTTAAGCCTGCAATGTTATTATTGCAGTTTATCAATAAGCAGGGTAAAATGGAGAGAGGAACAACACCCAGACCACTTCAATGAGCTAAAGTGTCTGGGTGCCTATAGTGTCCCCATCAGTTTGCTGAAACTAACTCTACTAAGAGGTCCTATCATGAATCCATCAGGTTATCAGATGTATTATTCAGCATCTCCTTAATTAACTAAAATCACTAATATCTGTCATACCAGTAAAGCAAAGTTGGGTTCATTATAGACAGAAAATGTGAAGAACCAAAATAACAAATAGTTTGTACACAGCATGGGGCAGAAAACAGAAAGGAAATATATAAACTCTAATCAGAACAGCAATAGACCCAAGGTGGAGGGGATGGAACATCAGTGGGGATTGTGCCTGACACCTTGCATTGCTTGTGAGGTTCCATACCTGTCTGTGAACGACCTTGGCATGTTTCAGGATCGCTATGACGTCCCCAACGGCGGTAATCCCCAACTCGTTAATGATGTCTTTATTCAGGTCCATCAGCATGTTTTTCTGAATCCTGTAAGGACAATGTTTCTTATTCTCATGTCACTGCTAAAATATTTTCTCAATTATTTGTACACAACTATCCCTGACACCTTCCAATAATAATAAGTCACCAAATGTAACAATCACAGGGTTCCCAGCAGACTACACTACAGGTCTGCTCATCGTGTTAATATCAGATCCACAATACTTTGCCAATCTGCATTTCTTCATAGAGATGGTTACAGTGCAGTATTTTGCTACGCATGCGCAATCGTCTCAATATTTTCTTATTGGTGGAGATAGTCAAATGTGATAATCTCAGCCATGGAGGCAGCGAGAGGCAGGGCCAGATTCGAGGAGACCCTGCGGCGCTGGAAAAAAGGTGAGTAAACTCAACTTTACAGGGGAAAAAGAGGCCGGTGATCTAACCAGTATTATCACACGTATAGTGTCAGAAATACATGTTTGTATTCCTGAAACAATAGTGTACACAGATTACACAGGAAATTAATAATTCTGTACAGTAAACACAGACGCATGCAAAGTTATTTCTCAATAGTGATTCTGGATCAGGACTTTTAACTGAAGCAATCATGGTGAACAGTCTACTGGTTTCCATGGTGACTGCTCTACAATTGCTATTCACACGCAGCCCCCACTAGAACCTATTGCGTATAATGCAGGACCCTCCAACGTAACTCAGATATGCATCATACAGCAGCAAGTCCAATGGAACCAAAAATAAACGACTGACTCCATTCCCATCTCCTCCCTTACAAACCTCTCCTGTTTTGGGTGTAACGGTGACTCCCATCACTCTCACCTGTTATCCACAAATGAAACAGCGTAGTTGACAGCTGGCCCAGCAGGAATTCCAGCTTCCTTGAAGAAGCCAATCCATTCTGATGTGGCTAAAATAAAATAAACACCAGTTTTATAACTGCTCCACTAACCAAACAAGGAGAGAGGGAAGACTTCAAATTAAAGGTTTACTGGTTTTATTACACAGGAAATAGAGTATAATTAGGAAGTACAGTAAGACAGGCTCCGGATCAGAATGCCATCAATCTAAGGAAAATCTTACCTAACGTTACAGATACCATGATAGGATCCACAGACTCCTGCAAAGCAAAACACAAGACATTAGAAACCAGGTAGTTAAACAATTATCTCTCCACCAATATCCATGAACCTAAATAGATTCCCACAAGTAGCATTAAAACATCACAGCAAGACAAGGGTGATTATTGTTGGATTGTGAAGCATAATAAATAATTGGTTCAGAAACTAGGAACAAGCAAGCTGTGGGTGCAATGTGCCAAGAAAAGGCACATAAAGAGGTTACAAGACAGGACAGCTGCTCAGCCCAAAAATAGCCCATGAACAAACACACACCCTGCAGCATGGAGATATGCTATTTAAGGCTGAAATCAGAAGATGACTGTATGTAAGAGGCACCTAATCTCACATATTGAGAGTGTATAATATATAAATAATAAAAAACTTTTCTGAAATGTTTCAACGGAGTTGGAAATTGAATTTCAAGATAACCTTAATGAATTATGTAATTCATTTAAAGTTTAAATACTGGAGTTATGCAGCAAAAAGATGAAAAGTCTCCCTAGTTTACAGTGATTCAGTAAAACCACATTGTAACCTGTACAAATCCCGCACAGAACTGATATAAGCCATTCCGGACATCGGATCACTCATTCCTCTTACAGGGTATAAGAACACACACACACAGCTTAACTAGTTCTATATTATGCAAAATAAGCAGCATATTGTATCACGCTATATATAAGAAAAACTCTGTATGTAAAGTCACCACACAGAACTAAAAATCAAACCTATAACAGATTACTGGATGAAACCAGACTGCAATCCCAGCCCACAATTCCTATATATCTAGCTATTAAACCCAATAAGTCAACATTTATATAAAAACAGTCAGCAAAACAAATTACTCACAGAATTCTAAACAAAAACAGTCACCAAACACAACACTTACCAGTTAAAACGATCAGACAAGTAACTGCTTCCCAAATCTCTCCACCAACCCTCACATACCAGCAATCCACATTTGTAGGAGACCAAACTAAACTGCTTGGTATCAGGGACTGAGATAATGTACGGTATATTTGCAAACACTAACCCCTCATTGACTGGCTGCTGATTACCTTGTAAGACTCCTCATTTACATAACTGGGTGGGAAGACAGACACTCACATTTATGTAAAAAAGTAAATACTGTATGTTAATTAACCTGTAATTATATTACCTGCTAATTAACATACAGATAGAGTATTACAGAACACCACATTGTTCATTGTTTTCTCCACAGTGTGTGTTTATTACCGTGACACCACCAGAAATAAAGGATTAACACTCAGTAAGTAACTTTTCATAACAATTTGTTGGGTGTTTTGTGAAAAAGACTACAACGCTGTAAAAAAAAACTATTTCCCCATTTCCGAGCCTCATGGATACCAGGTGAAAATAGTGCGAAAGCACTTGCTGACATGCACAGAACACTGATATCAAATGCCTATTTCTATCCTTTAACAATGCAAATAGCCTAAAAAAAGGAAACCTTAACATTCTCTTAGAGCTTACTTGGAAATGTGCTAACTGCCTAAACAGGTTCAGACAAACTATTCTATAGATCTCACAACCAGTCTGTCTAATGAGCATCAATTTGAACGGATCTCAGTTATTTTGCTCAAACTACCAAATTACTGTCTCTAAACATTAAACAAAGTTATCTGAGCTCTGACACTGGCTTCAGTAAGAGTTCTGTACAGTATTAAATAAAAATAAAAAAAACATGGACGGTGGATCTGACTAGGGTTACAATATCACATTTCCCTGGACACCATTTAAAGTCCTGTTGTGATGGGATTCCAGCATGGTTAAAATTTAGTAGGCCAAGATTTCCATGTGGCATATGTGTATGTTGTGTCAGTTGGTTAGCTACATGTAGCTAGGATACTGTCATCAGTGTACTGAGCATGTGCAGGAATGCAGGAACTGAAATTGCACTTATTTCCTTTGTCTTGGATGAGCCATGTGGTTTGACTAGATGTACAAGTCTATATTCTGCTCATTGATTGGTCTGAGGAATATAGGAGGGGTTATACTGTATGGGAGGAGATATGCAGTTAACAAAAGTCCCAAGCCACAAGTATATGTCTCTCAGATCCTTTGGAACAGGAGTTCATCTGAGACCCGATCGGTAATGTGAATAAAGGCCTGTTACTTCCTGAAGACCTGTGTCCAATATTTCTGTGTTTGGCTTCTGCATGCTTACACTGCAACATTTCTGGTGCATTGGCCGGGAACCTCATCGCACGGAAGCTGGCACAGAGATTTGAGACGGTAAACTTTTACCAAACCTTCTACGCTACAATCCTGGACTTCTACTGCGTGGACCTCCTTTCGTCTCGGCGCCACTGGCCTTTTGTCCAGGAGATCATCGGCTTCTGCGCAGTGAGTCCCAGATTGTTCCGTCTATGAGTGAACCCAGGTCCAGGACTAACAGGTAAGATTGATACCGTTAGAGCGGTAGACCCACAAGGGGTTTTATATTTGGAACCGGTTATTGGAATCTGCCCTGTCCTTATGGATGGAAGAAGTGAAAAGCGCAACACTTATCTGGAAATTAGACGCTCTGTAGTCAGCCCGTCTAATATAGGTGGTTTGGGTCAGACTGAGTTCTGGTGTAAATAGCTCATGTCGGACACCGGTGTCCTGTCTTGACTAGCGTATCTAGGGTGTAAATTTTGTTCGCTAGGTCGGGGGGACCGGGAGACTAGCATACTCTGTTGTATATTATAGTTTGCTAGATTTCACCCTATCTTAACTAAGTGTGCTCTGTTGTAAATCCAGCCACTAGCTTATTGATAGTTTAATAGACTAGCTGGGTACTGTGTAAATTCTGCCCTCTAGTTCGCTATACGTGGTGTCTGGGCAGCGAAGAACTTATCGAATCTCTGGTGTATAAATAGATCGAAAGCTCTCGAGGTGCTGGCCAGTTAGAATAGTTGGGATTATTGTAAATGTTGTTAAATATATTGTAGTTGGTGAATTGGTTAACTTGTATGTCCTACTAGAAAGTTAGAGCTCTGCTGTCTAGTGGGAGTGTAAATTGTGTGTATAACTGTAAAATAGCGCACGGTACCATAACTACTGACATGTACCATAACCACTGACATTGTGTAAAAATTACTAACAATTGCTGTTTTATGTTATATGTATAATACCATAACTGTTACTAACTGATCTGTGACTTTAAAACTGTATTATAACCACTTACTAACTGTACCATAACCACTGACTGTAAAGATGAGGTTACTAGAATGTGATATAGTTGGTTAGTCAAGAGTTGATTTATAGTACAGATAATTGTAGAGATGAAATCTGTTGAAATGTTATGTGATCGGTTAGTTTATATGGATTAATAGCGTGGATAGTTGTATGGTTTGAATAATAGTTACATTGATAAGTGTATAGTCTTTGGTGGGTTTTTGATTTAATTTCGTGTGTGCGACGTCGTGATATTGTTGAGCATGTGAGGATCCTGTGTGTGTGTTTGGGCCTAGTGACTGCGCAATGTGTTGCTGGTGATAAGGAGATTGGTGTGACTGTTGAAACTGTGTGTATATTTGTACAGCTTTTTGAATCAGATGCTCTGTTGAAATAATCTTCTGATTCACAAGGCTTTGTCTTGTATGTTTAAAAAAAAAAAAAAGTAGGGAGTAGCTTGTCCTGGTGGCCGCATGGCCTCCATGTAGCAGTCTTCACTTAAATTTAGTGCAGGGTGTACATGTGGCTGTAACTAGTAGGCTGGAATTCTATGATCAGTTTCTATAAATTGACTGTTGGAAACTGATTTGTTGAAAAACTGCCTTGGTGAATTAAACTGTGTCATATGGGAAACAATGTAGCCATATGGTGGTCAGAACTAAGGACTTAATTACAACTGCTTTGGACATCCCCTCCCCCCTGGCATCTGATTACCAACCCCCCAAACATCCTCCAGAGCCAGAGTAGCCACGCCCATTTCTGGCTGGTATAATCAGTATTTGCACTCTCCCTGCTCTACTGTCCCCGCCTACCCACATACCTATCTGTTCCTGTGTTTCAAACTCTTGTATTTCTGTACTACCCCTCCCCCTAATCAATGATCAATGGTATCAGATGGTATATGGTCTTTATTTTAGTTACTGGATGGGCCCCTCCCAGCTTTGTCCAAAATGTCCCCTTTTTACTAAACTACAAACTGAGATGTTTAATTTACTTTAGAACTAAAGATTTAATCAAGCCTAGATATCAGGGTGGACATTGATTAAAATAAGTAATAATAAAATAGGACATAATTAATTAAAGTCTATTTGTTTCATTTGACTTTAGGGAGGCACTCTAAGCCACCTACTGGCCATCTTCGGGAGTTACATTGATAATACATTGTTTATAACAGATAGATGTAGGATTGCTTACCCTATTTTAATATATTTATTGCTATAAGGTTTTATTTTATGTATAAATATATTAAAAGTTGAGTTTTCTTATTAGACCCATAAAGATTATTTTGATACAATTACCCTCTGGTGACACCTACTGGTAGGTTTTTGGTTTAACACTTTAAAAAAAAAAAATTTTTCATCCACCAAATGCTGACTAATAAAATTAGCTCACCCCCTTTCACCTATTTTACTAATCCTAGACTGTAACCTATTATTGGGCAGCCTTGCCGAAGTCCCATATTAGACACTGCTTGAGTCAAATAGGTTGTATACTCCCTTTAATCCAGAGGCCCCTGAAAACTTCCGAATTATAGACTCAGCATTTGTCAGCCAGGCCCAAGGTGATATTAAAAGGAAATTACAGAAATTAGAGGGATTTGTAGGGATGTCCATAATACAGCTAATGGAGATTGCAAATAAAGTATATATGAATAGGGAGACGGAGGTAAAGTGGGAGCAAGAACGTAAAATGAGGAAAAAGGCAGATATGCTAGCGGTAGCTATCTCAAGTGTAGAAAGACAGGGAAGTAAATAGAGGAGACGAGAATGGGCTGAGCAAGGGACCTCTACGTAGGAATCAATGTGCGTATTGTAGAAAGGAGGGACATTGGAAGAGTGAGTGTCCACAGAGAGAGCAGTATGAAGGTGGTAGACAAGGAGTGAGAAGGGTACGAGGAGGTTATAGTGGTAGTTATAGAGGAAGAGGAAGTTTTAGAGGGAATGGTGGGAATAGTAGAGGAAGTGTTCAAGGAGACAGATACTATCCACCCACGCAGAGACCTAGAGAAAGAGAGGATAGAGATTTTGTGGGTCTGGCTGACACTATCATGGAAGACTATTGATACCGACTGGGCTCCATCCCACTTGGTCGAGCGGAGCCTATGGTCGATGTAGCAATAGGGGGAAAGAGAAGTTCTTTCATGATCGACACAGGTGCTGAACATTCTGTGGTGACTAAGATGGTGGCTCCGCCTTCGGGGAAGACTATAACTGTGATAGGAGCTACTGGGAGAAGTGCAGCTAGACTGGTTCTTAAGAGTCGCACTTGTATTCTGGGAGGCCATGTGGTGAAGCATTAGTTCCTATATATGCCAGAGTGTCCGATTCAACTTTTAGGACGAGATCTATTATCGAAGCTTTAAGCTCAGATAACCTTTTACCTAATGGATTAACATCTCTGAAGTTTAAGGGATTACCAGGCATAATGGTGATATCGGTGCCAAGGGAAGAAGAATGACGCTTCTATTCCATAGTGACAAGTGTTAACCCTAAGAGTGATGAATCCTTATTTGACATTCCAGGAGTATGGGAAGAAAATAATCCTCCAGGACTTGCTCGTAATATCCCACCAATACATATTGAGTTAAAGCTCGGGGTGTATCCTGTTAGCCTTTGTATGTTGTTCTTTTATCTACCCCAACAGCTGTAAAGGTGGCAGAAGTGACTCCTTGGATTCATCATTCTAAGGTTAAACCAGCAGCAGACTCTTGGCAAGCTCCTCCAGATCCTGAGAATCCTTGCAGGACCCGGTTGAAGCGTGCAACTTAGTCGGAGTGACGAGGGGATATCGAGACATTCTAGTTAAAAGTCTACAAAGATCATCAAGTAGGTGTTTTGACGGCCATAATAAAGCCTGACCACCTGCCTACGTGTCATAGCCAGAGTATCTTGAAGGGATCTCTGTGAAGGAAAGTGAGGATCAGAAGAACAACATCCTTGCAGCCCTCACAATCGGGAAGCTGAGAGGCCATCGCACGGTCGAAGAAAAATGAGGATTTCAGGAATAATGTGTTTTATTGTGTCTTAGTATTTTTATGATTTTTCAGGAAGGTAGGAGTACAGACATACCGAATTGCGATAGTTGCATTAAGACTACTAAAACAGGTAACCAAATATCCCAAACTCTCATCTGGCACTCACAGTATGAATGTAAGGGATCTGTATCTAAATGTAGATATTTGGATATTGATTATAGTGTGTGCAAGCCAATATCAGGAGAGTCTAAATGTTTTGATCCCCATTTCCAACCCCGTACAATTTGGTTGGTAATTCGGAATAGTAACTCCCAGGGGACATTACTAAATAGGACTGTGATAAGCACCATACATTCCACGGGTATTCTACTATTTGATGCATGTAAGGCGATTTCGGGTAGTGGAAGACTTTGGAATGTATGTGGTAATCTTAAATGGGAACGAACTTATGGGTTTAATGATAAATACTTATGTCCCAGTATAAGATCTACTGATCCTGATTGCCCAAATAGAGACTAACTTCTGCCCCTATTTGTCATGTGTAGGTTGGGCAACCTGGGAAAAACAGTGGATCAAGATATGATTATCCAAAGGTTGCCTACCACACCATAC